GCCCCCCCATAAATGTTAAATCAGGGAAATTTTTTTTTTAAATAGGCCTGGGGGGGGGGGGGGGGGGGGCTCTATTAATTATTCTATTAATCATTCTATCCCTAGAAGAAATCACTGGAAAACTGAAAAAGAATTTTAACAGTTCCAAATATCAAACTTTGAATGTTTCTTAGATGATCCACTGAGTGTCCATGTTAAAAACCTATAAAGTCAACAATATCGACTTTTCCTACCCGTGGTTAATTAGGTATTGAACTTTCATTTCCTTTTATATTGGCCAATTCTACAGAGATCGAAAAGTAATCGAAAATTCTGTAGAATAAACAGAAGGATATCTGTTGTGTTTTTTGTCAATACCTTTCATATACCCACTCCCCTTTTAGGTCAATTTTCAGAGTGAAAAGTATTTGAAAGTCTCGTAGAAATTAACATATTCATACAAAATGACTTCCTTGATTGCTTAACATCCGGTTTTATAGCCTTGTTATAACAGAGTTATTAATAGTCTCTTGTTCTATAAACTTCTATAGAAGATAACTCTGTTTGGAAAACAGACCACAATTTCTACTCAAATTTTAAATCTTAAAAATGGCAGATAGAAAACTAGATACAATATTTCAATCAAACACCCTGGGGAATTCGATACAATGTTGAAAACAGTTTTATATCCTAAAGATTTCGATTCAGTCTCAGGCTGGGTACCCGATGTTGGTGATAGAAGTGTTTTAAAAGAACCGGTAAGAAATGTTCCAAATGCAGATTTAGCTAAAGTGAGAGTTATTATTCGAAACACAATAGAAAGAGTAGGACGAGCAGCTAATCGTGGATTCGAAAAACGAGTACTTCAGTACAACGATACCGTTGATAATAATAGTTGGGGTAATTATGGAAATTTGAAGTTATATCCATTATTCGGTTTGTAGGAACACAGAAAGGTATCCATAGGATTACCATATAAAATTCATCTACAAAGAGAAATCAATGATGATAAGATATTCTTTGGAGAGAATGCTTCAAATGCAAAATTAGAAATAACGAATCTCCAACTTAACATACCCGTAATAACACCGTCAATAGAAGTCGGGGCGTAAATTTCTATTTTTGAGAGTATAAATTTGAAATGTAGTATCACATTTCTTATTGAATTCATTAATTCTAGCAGTTGTCATTACTACTTTTCTATTCGCTTTTGGAAAATTATTAATGAATTTTTGAAATTTGATAAAACAGTTATCATCTGTTGATATATAACAATTTCTACCTTTATATTCATTCATTGTAGTTCTGTTCCTCTACCAACTTTGAAAACTCATATCTCCTTGTTTCCCCTATATTTTGTGGTTCTGGATTTCTAATAATACTTGCTGATGGTGGACTTTCCGTCTCCAATGTCATATCAAACTCACCCAATACAAGAACCTCATATTCTTCTTCATCTGGTATGATTAACATTCTAAACCTATCTATATATTTTCCACTCGTTTTAATTTCATACAAGTGAGAGTAGTACTAGAGCTTTCAATTAGGTCGTATAAAAGGGGATTTCCCCATTCCATTTCATTTCATGGGGAAAATGCGACCTAAATTGAAAGCTCCCATAACATAAAGACCTAAATTCTCTACATTTCATAAATTCTTACACCTATATTCCCTATATTTCATAAATTCCCTACATTTCATACACCAAAAACACCTTCAATCAATTTCCTACATTCCATCAAAAAAGCATATTAAAAATACCCTTATATAAAATAACATAACATTTTTAGTAGATGGGAGATAACTCTTTTTGGATAAAAAACAGACTAAATTAACTCATTTAAAAATAGGATGAGTTTAATTCTAAAACACGAACAACACAGATTCGAAGATTATTCGCGCGACGGTATCTTTTCTTCATTATTTTCTCTAGGTAAAACAATAATTCCAAAAGTAGCTAGCTTTGTTTCAAAAAACAAATCACTCATTTCAAGCGGAGCGAAAGCCATCGGCTCAATCGCTGAAGCGGGAAAGAGTATAAGCGATACAGTGAAACAATCTAACGAGTTGAAAGATTTACAACTAATAAGAGAACTTCGAAACAGGAGATTAGAAGAAAGGAAAGGAAAAGGTTTTAAAGTTATAGGATAAAAATGATTGTAGCTCACGCTCCAAAAACTTATTTCGGTTCAGGAGATATACAAAAATCATTGGGTTCTCTTCCTGGATTTCCATGGGCGAAATATCCCGGAGAAAAACATCTTCCCGGTCATAATTATACAGGTCCAGGCACAAGGTTAGATCTGCGATTAGACGAAAACAATAAACCCAAACCAGGGGAAGAACCAGTCAATAGAGTTGACGCCGCTGCGCTTAAACACGATATACTATACAGAAAAAAAGACATAAAGTTTAGACACGAAGCAGACAGACAAATGATAATCGAACTTGAAAATATTCCAAATCCAACTTTCAAAGAGAGAATGGAAAGAGCATTAATCATTAAACTGTTAAAAGCAAAGATGAAATTAGGTATGGGATTGGCGGATGAAATTCATAAAGAATTTAGAAAAACTAAAAACTTTTTAAAAGTCAAAGTGTTTGAAAAAGATGAAATATGGTCAGCCGATTTAATTCATATGCCAGTCGAAAGAGGATTTAAATATTGCTTAACAGTTATAGATTTATATACCGAGATATGTATGGGTTATTCCTTTGAAAAACAAAACGCGATTATCAGTCAAACACGCATTTGAAACGATTATGAAACAATCTAACCGACATCCAGAAAAACTATGGGTAGATAAAGGAAGTGAATTTTATACCAAAAATATGAAATGTCTGGGATTTGAAATTTACAGCACGCATAATGAAGGTAAAGCTGTAGTTATTGAAAGATTTAACAGGACTCTAAAAAATAAATTATTCAAAAAATTCACTGAATTGAAATCCCAAAAATGGCTTAAAATATTACCAGAGGTTGTCGACGAATACAATAACAAAATTCATTCATCTATAGGTGTTACACCGACACAAGCCTCGAGTAATCCAAATATTATAAAGTCAATTAACGCGCAACATAACTACGAAAATGAAAGAAAGAATTTAAATATCAAACCCAAATTTAAAGTCGGAGATCGAGTTCGTATTTTCAAATATAAAAGCAAATTCGAAAAAGGTTACGTTGGATACTGGACAAACAAAATATTCATCGTTGATAAAGTAAACACCACATCACCTCCGACATATGAATTAATCGATCAAGACAAAGAACAAATCATAGGAAGGTTTTATCAAAACGAACTTCAAAAAACCGTCTTTTAAAATGAATGAATTTCTCGAAAACTTTGTGCCCAAAAAGACATTCGAACAATCTTAAAATATCGTAGAAACATTATAAGATAAAATGGGAGATGATATAGCAGCTTGGAGGATAAATATTGGAATGTACGTCCACAAATCAAGGAAAAGTATTTTGAAAAGAGACGTTCTCCATTGTAATTTAATGATGTCAGTGTTGATGATCTTAAATGTTTTGATTGTTCTTTCTGGGGATGTAGAATCGAATCCAGGTCCCAATACAAGACAAGGACATTTATCAAAAACAGGTGAATTGATTCCACCACCTTCAGATGGATCTAAAGGCAAAGAAACGGACATTACAAATTTAATACAGAGACTTATATCTGAGATGTCTGATTTAAGGCAAGAGGTAAGGGACATTAATATTAAAGACGAAGTTATGAATCTAAAATCTGAGGTCAAGGAACTTAAATCTGAAAATCAGACATTGAAGCGAAGTCTGGATTCTTGTGAAAA